CATCGAATGATATCTTTGTCCGACAGACCATAATCGAGTTGGCGTTGCAGTACGAGCCGCTTCTGTACGCCGTTGTGGGGTTCTCAGCGTACCATCATTGCGTGCAAACTGGGACCGGTCGACTTTATTCGTTTCTGAAATACTATAATACTGCCTTGAAGCTGTTACGAAAATCCCTTGGCTCAGGCGAGCCACACAATGAGGCTACGTTAGCCACCGTCCTGGTCCTCACCACCTTCGAGGTATGACTTGTATTTGTGATTCGTCATCCCCTCACATCATGCTGATTCTATGTGTAGGAGTTCATTGGAGACTGGGTCAACTTAATCGACCATCACCAGGCGGCCCATGCCTTGATGCGAGAACTTTTGACACCTGATTCAATCAACACGAACGAGCTTCACCAACATATTTTTCTTTGGTATGCGCGCTTTGACGTGGTGGCGGGAATCCTGGCGGGTAACGAAGCGGTTCTAAGCCGGGATTGGTATGTTGCGAAAGAAGAATATGACGCTCAGCAGGCGGCAAACGACCCAGGTAATGTGGACAAGCAACTGGCTTGGGCCATGTCAATCAACCGTCGATTTGGACTAGAGATGGCTTCCTTGTATGCCAAACTGTCACGTGGTATGATCCCAATCGACGATTTCATTGTGCAAAATGAAATACTGGGACAAACTCTGGAGCGAATGCGGAGCATTCTGGTCCAATTCCAAGATTCCGAGTACACGGTTCGGGATTATCCCCATCGCGTACCATTGACTGAGGACGATGTTGTGGATCCATATGTGCCGGGCGGCATGCATTGTGGCCCTCTGTGGGAGGTCAACGTCGTGTGGATTGATTACTTGTCCACCAAGGCTATGTTCAAATATCAGTCGTTTCTAGCCCTACGCCAAACTTCAATCACCGAATTGGAGGAACTTTCCCTGGAACAGTGTCGATTAATGGAGTCAGTTGATCGGTGGCCAGGCAAGGAGAACGGCGCCATTATCGCGTTCAAAAACAGCATTGGCATGGCGGCTATGTTCCTCCCCAAGCAGGAGAAATATATCATGTGGGCGCGGCGGAAGTTCGCCTCGTTGGAACAACAGGGGTGAGTGATCTCTAGCAGTGGGACATTGTTGTGGTGCTGACGCAATTTAAGCTATGTTGTGGCAGCCCGATTCCGATCAGCAATGGCGGCAATTTGGCAATTGCCGGGAATTGACCGCTGGTGGCTTCCCAACGACGAGAATTATCCAGACCTCATTCGCGAGGTACGCGCGATGACTGAAGAGCGCATCACTCACCCTCGCGATCACTTCCGGGAGGATGTGCGCGACATGAAAGCGTTGTTCTGGAATATCAGCCTAGACGATACAGAGAGTGATAATAGTCCGGTTTCGGTTCCTCATGTCGCAGATGCACGGCCCACATGAATCGATGCTAGTCCGTTATAACGCTATATCACGATCATACTATAGATCGGCTCGGGATCTTAACTGTAAGGCGGGTCCGTCGGGCGACTGACGACGGTATGGAGTGAGATGCGTCTAGCCCTCCATCATAATCCATCTCATAACGACCCTGAGCGTGGGCTGATTGATCGACCTGCTGGGCTGGAATACCTATGCCAATCACATACATGCCCTGCTCCCCTACCTTGTCTCGATTTATATTTAATTTTGCTTCTTGGATACCCAGCTTTGTACACGAGGTAGGGAGGAGGGGGGCTGGTGGTGTGGATGTGCGAACCTGTTCATGGAGGTGAAGCCGAAACCGGTGCGGACTTGCAGAACCCCCCGCGGCGGTCATTGTATATAATAGATGCGATAATACTTGCGGGGCATGTCCTTTGTTTACTCGGGAGGCAGCATGTCTGCCGGTTGGGGCAACGCATGCCCTACGTCGCACTCAGTCGGTGTTCATGTAAATATTTATTGGCGGAGGATGAGTGATGCACACAAGATCTGCACAATTGTATTGAACATTCGTATATCTATATATATTCACATACGGTGCTTTCCACCCACAAAGCACGAGTAAGAATAATTAGGATATGACCAATTGTCAGATTTTGCCCTTTCAGGTCCAGATGAGAGCAAGAGACTATGGCGAAGATGACGGTGATGTTCCTGTTGCGTCGCTTATGGGCTGTGTATATGCATTATATCATGGACGCTACTTCAAGGTTCTTCATAGAAGCAGGCCGGGTGGCGCAATGGTAGCGCGTTTGTTTTCGGCACAAAAGGTTGCGCGTTCGAGTCGCGTCCCGGTCGAATATTTTTGTCATTTATTTTTACCGTGTCCGTTGTAGATGGATGGATGGGAGTGGAATGGCTTGGTTCGGTCGAATTAGTTTGTCTATATCTGTCGACTTGGTTGGTTCCCTTCTTTTCACATATCTAAACTGCCTGAGCTTCTTCATCCACTATAGGCACATATAGAAGGGTGTACTAGGTAGTTGATTGTCCAATTGTCGATTGTCTACTGTAGTCATTGTCCAAGCTGTGAGGAGCCATTTGCTTGGGCTAACCGGAAACGGCCAGCAGGAAGCGGGCGTTCTTTAGCCGTCGATCCTCTTATCTTTTCCTACTGCCTCCCAACTGATTCAATCTCCAGTCCCAAGTCACCATCGTCTCTAACTCTCAGCACAATGAAACACGGGTGTCAATGGCCGCTCAGCTCGGGCCAATTCTGCAGATCGCCGATTGCCCTGTGGTCCGAGGGCGGCTGTCAGACATCCAGGGCTTTTTTTGGACGGGTTTCAGCCCAGCAAGCCCGAGTCGAGTCACTGACTGATCTCCAGATCCGGGGAAAACCAGGGACTGCCACCGACAGGGTCCAGTCCCTGAATACATACAACATCCACTTCCCCCAGGCCCCTTCCTTCTCGGGGGTTAACGTACTGGTTACATGTCATTCTCATTCTTTCTGCCCGTCTGGCATCTTTCCAGTTTCCACCCTCCTTTCCCCCCTCGCTGGATGATCCATAAATACGACTCTTGGCTGGTCGTGCCAATGCCTCCCTTGGCACCCTTGGCGTCTCAGTCCGTCCAACAACCCACCCCCCCTGAGTTTGCCAAACCTGCGTTTTCTTCCTGATGGTTGCCTGCTTCTGCTGCTGCTGCCGCTGTTGCTGCCGCTGCTGCTGCTGTCGTCCGTCCCTTTCCTCCTCCTTCCTTGACATTCCTCCACATCCACCCCGAGAGGAGACATACACACACCACGCCCACCATGCGTGCCCTATCGCGCTACCTTCAACAGCTTCCAATCTGGCTGTATCTGGCCAGTAGTCTAGCTCAGGCCGATCTCAACATCCAAGTCAACGATGCTAGTAGGTGCTCCGAACCCTGAATAGACCGCAATTGTTCCGCTCATCCTGTGATGTTTTGTAGACTCCCTTGCGACTGCCGGCACGGCCATCGCCGACCCCATGATGACCTTCTACAAACAAAATCAAACCGAAGGCATCCCCGGAAAGCTCACCGACACCTGGTACGTTGCCGGCAGCATGTTCATGACCCTCATCCAATTCTGGCAGGCGTCGGGCGTCGACACCTACAACTCGGTCGTCTCGCATGACCTGATGTTCCAGGCCGGCGAGAACTACGACTTCTTCTCCGCCAATTATAGTCAGTGGCTGGTATGGTTCTCGTTCCTAGGCGCGGTGGATCTTAGACAGAGCTGGGCTAAATAAATATCCACACAGGGTAACGATGATCAAATGTTCTGGGGGTTGGCTGCGATCACTGCTTCCGAGGCTGGCCTACCCGAGCGTGATGGCAAACCGTCGTGGACCTCGCTTGCTCGTGCCGTGTTCAACATGCAGGTCAATCGCTGGGATAACGAGACCTGCAACGGAGGCATGCGGTGGCAGGTCTGGCCGTACCAGGCAGGGTACACCATGAAGAACGCCATCTCGAACGGAGGCCTGTTCGAGCTGTCGGCCCGACTGGCCCGCTTCACCAAGAATGAAACGTATGCCGAATGGGCGGAGAAGATCTGGGACTGGTCCTCGACGACGCCGCTGCTGAACACAAACCTTACGATCTGGAACATTGCCGATTCGACATCCAATGAGGCCAACTGCAAGGACGCGGGTAACAACCAGTGGACGTACAACTACGGGACGTATCTTTCGGGAGCGGCCTTCATGTACAATTACGTACGTTCTGCCCGGGCGACAATTAGAGAGTCTTTGCTAATATGTGTGGTAGACCAATGGAAGTGCTGTTTGGGAGGAGCGCGTCAGCCGCCTGCTAGATTCAACCTTCGCGAAGTTCTTCCCGACCCAGTTTAGCAGCACCAACTACGGCAATGGTTCGGTTCTGTCGGAGGTGGCGTGCGAACCGATCTTATCGTGCGATCGCAACCAGCTCTGCTTCAAGGGCTACGTAGCCATGTGGTTGGCGTTCACGGCGATCCTGGTTCCGTCCAAGAGGGATCTGATTGCCCCCAAGCTCGCAGGGTCCGTTGAGGCCATCGGCTTGCAGTGCTCAGGTACGGCCGATGGGATGAGCAACTTGTGCGGCGTGCGCTGGTATCAGCCGTCGTGGGACGGCTCGCTGGGACTCGAAGTCCAGATGAGCGCGCTGGGCGGCGTCACGTCCCAGCTGATGCTGCTGGCCAGTCAATCGCCGCAGACGATCGACACCAATCCCAACGCCACGGAGCACCACATCGACACAAGCGCCGACGAGAAGAACCCGTCAGAATCGAAGCCCATCACGACGGCCGATCGCGCTGGGGCGTGGATTCTGACGATCATGCTGGGAAGTGGTGCGATTGGATGTGTGGGTTGGCTAATCAAGACCCAATAGTCTTTTTTGTGTTTCGTTTCCAGGGAGTTACGGTTTTTCGATTGGGTGGTCTGTATACCACATTGTTTTTGTGTCTCTGTTTCTTTCTTGCCAGCATATTCTTCCAAGATCCCCCCCTATAGAAGCCAATTGAGTCGTATAGTCGAATTTCATTCAGTGGTGGCGGTGGTGTTTCTCCACCTCCACCGGCCACTTCTGCAAACTCTCATACCACTGCAACCCGGACGCCCAGAGAAAAGCCCACGACCCCCAGAAGGTCGCCAGACACGCCTGATACTGCATCCCCGCCAGCCCGAACACGCCGCACAGGGTGAACCCGACCCCGCCCACCACATTCCACCCCCCGATATGCCACCCCAGCACCCGCCACGCCGGCCGATCCCACCGCTCCTGCGTCTCGAGCGTGAACAGCCCGCCGCTGACGACGAAGCAGACTCCGCCCACGACCTGGGGCACCCAGTACACCCCGTCCGTCAAGGGGGCACTCATGTGCCCGATGATGCCGGGGAGGCCGGTGACGCCCGCGATCCAGAAGACGGTGGCGCCGACGAGTTGGGTGAGGGAGGCCCAGAAGCCGAGGTCGTGGAGGTAGTGGTTGACCTTTCTGGGGGTGCCCGGTGCTGCAGCTCCTGCAGTTTCTGCCGAGGAAATGGCCAGGGCAGTGGCAGTGGCAGTCTTCCTGCCTGCAGGCCACGACAACAGGCCCTTCCGATTCGAATGATGACATATACAGGTCTCCGTGCTGGGGCGGAGGACCAGACTGCTCTTGCCTGGATCCGTGCCGGGGCCGGGGATCTTGTTCGCGTTCGTATCCGATCCTCGTTGCGCAGTATTTCCGCCATGCACCTTCTTCCCCTTCTCATCCCCACCCCCCTCGTCACACTCACCCTGCCCCAAAGTCCCCTCACGCCCCTCAGAACCCGAAGGGTCCAAAGCGGAAACATCCCACCCCCACCCCCACCCCCAACACCACCCCATATTCCCACTGTCCTGATCCGCAGGACGACCCG